TTTTCCTTCTCTCTCTCTTCACGAGGGTTATGAGACGGATGTTTCCGTCCAAGTGAACTACGTCTCAATGCTATAGCCCATCTACAATGTGTTTGTGTGTGTGCCTGGGATGTGATTTGACAAGGACTTGAGTGAGACGGAAGAGATGAGCTTTCATGTTGATGATAGCTTTCGGCCGAAGCGACCACCACCGCCGCCCCGACCCGACAAGACACCGAGGGAGGTGAGAACATGGCCGTGTATGGAATGCTTGGAATGTCTTCCTTGAAAAGTGCATGCAGCAGATTCTAACCTCGAGGACACAGGTAGCCAAGATAGGGCTGTTGTGTTGTTCGGCAGCCATGCGCTTCGCACCAAGGCCCAACCTTCCGTTTCGTCATGCCCTGCTCACCATACGCGCGAAACTCCCGAATGCGGGCGTTTCTTAGGGCCCTGGCGACAGACAGCTCAGAGAAACATGGGCGACATGGCCTTCTCCCAACCCTCGATATCGGGTTCTCGTCGTTGCTTACTTCCTTGTTTTGTTGCATTAGAACCCTTCACGCAGAAGAGACGATGCGAAATCTGGCTGCAAGCTTCTCGATTGGGAGCACCTCCCGCTCGTCGAGGCTAAATTGCCTTCATCTCGGAGAGGACCCTTGGGGGCCCCTCCCGTTGCCCCCCTCGGCAGGATCCAGAGTGGTAACTTGCAAGAGTCAATTGCCTCAAGTTGAGGCATTACATTTCGCTCGACATTTCCTTGTCTTGGATCTTGATTCTAAACTGACGATGGTGATGATGCTCGTTTGAATGGGCCATGTCGGGTGGCAAAAAAAAAAAAAAAAAGCAGACTAAGAAAACAAGGCCGACGGATGTCAGAAAATCTCGCAAGGGGGGTCTTGTTAACCACCAGTACGATTGATTGTAGGCACGAATTTGGATGTAGCGCGAGACAGGATGGGGACCGGGTGACGGAGACCGCACTGCAGCAAGGCAAGGCAAGGCAAGGCAAGGTAAGGTAGGGCGAACCTTGATGGTCTGTCCCCGTCCGTTTGCGCAAGTCCGGTTACGGGGCCGTTGGCTGCTTTGAGCGGTGAAGAGGCCGGCGCCGCGGGGACTTTACAGGGACCGGGGGCGGGAGGGAGGCTCGATGGTGAAAGTGAAAGACTCGGCGATTGATTGTGTCTGGTGGTTGGAGGGAAGGTAAATGCGTTAAAGGAGAATATACCCAATAGCTTCGTGGTGGCAATTCAGGGTACTGCATAGGTATGAAGGCTTGGATAGCTGCCTTCATTGGCCAAAGCGACTGGTTTGTGACTTCTCTGGTGGTACGCCGTACGTACCGTGTAGACTTCTGAGCATGGGGGTCTTTGCCGCCTCTTTTTTCTTTGTTTCCAAATTTCCATATATCCGTAGACGTACCGTGGTGGGGAGGCAAGCTGGCAAGCAAATGGTCCGTGGCGTGCCGGTGTGCAGTGTTGTGTCGCTAGCAAAAGCCATTGGTCGTGCCAGAGGAGTGAGGCTGGCTCTATGGGCAAGGATGCCATCTCAGGTGCTGGGATTCAGTGTTATCTGATGCTCATGAGTGGTGGAGGGCGGATGGCTCCCGCGTCGGGGCATGGCACAGGACCATCAAAAGAAACTGAGGTGAGCAGAGCTCAGCGCTCTCAGGCCGACGGGAGGCGAGAGGCGACAGAGGGCTGCAGATTGAGGTCAAGTATCCGTAAGGCAACGTTTATCTACTGAACTCTCCACACTGGCACAGGATGTGTTTGACTCTGGTCGGAGGAGTCGCAACCGCAGTCGAACCTCGGATAGGCTTGGATTGAATTGGATTGGGCAATGGCGCAGAGAAGACCCTGTGCCGAGGATCGAGTATCTCTCGTCTGGTCTATCCGTCCTCTAAGCCTGTCCGAGACTTGCAGGGCATTGGCATTGCGGTGGCTAGGGTGTGGCCGCGTCGTTCCGCCGTTGTTTTCCTTTCTTAGGGGTCCGTCAAAGTAAACAAAAGGGGGCACGGCGTGTGGGGGGGTACGAATAGACGCTGCAGAAGGCGCGATGGCAGTGCAACACGGTTGGTCTTGGTTCCGTAAGCTGCTCGACGCCTCAGGACAATGGCATTTCCCGGCGCCTGAACATGGACATCTACGAAAATGCCATGGTGTTAGGTGGCGCCCTGAGGGTGTGAGGTGCGCGTCACTGTTGGAGCTCGAGACAGGCAAAACGCTGTATCCGTCCAGACACTGGGTGCCTCTGTTTGTCAATGGAGGGCAGTTGGTACCGCAGCCTGCAGGGCGCAAAGAATCCTGCGCAGCTAGCGGTCAGTGGGTGGTCAGGAACACGGGCTCTTCTGGAAAGGCATGCCGCAGTGTCGTCTGGTAGAGTATCCGTAGTGGGCAATGTTTGCCAGGAATATGCCTCGACCCCTATTTCCTACTTGATGGTTCCGTCCCAAGAGACGAGGCGACTGCGACTGCAACTACGACTGCGATTCACGGGCAGCGTAAAGACGAGACACGGACATCCCTGTGGCCACTGCTGTCAAGGGACGAAAGGATGCCGAATGGTTCATGGACCATGAGGGTTGGCATCAATGGAGCTGCGGGCCTGCGGCAGATCTTGTGTTTCGAGATGGGTGGAGGTGCCAAAGTGAACTTTGAAAAAGGGTGGAGGAGGTTGCGAAAAATAGAAACCAGGGAAATAAGGGTCGGTTGGCTTCTTCCCTCGTTCTTTGATGAGATGAAATGCGTCGACAGGGAACATGAAACTTCGGTTGAGAGAACATGCACTATGCCTGCGCCGTATGAATGAATAAGGTATGGCTATCCGTACTCGGTACCCCGTAGCTGCTCTGCTTTCGTGGATGGTGCACAGTATTTCCTCTCGGTGGGGTCAATTAGAGATTTTGGGGCCGGTGGCAGGGTCCTTTGGAGTGGCATGGAACTGAATTGACGATTTTCTGCTCTCTTCATTTTCCTGTAACAAATTTTCAGTGACATATCCATCAGGTCAGAGATGAAGGAAGCACCGCCTTGGGATCTGAGGCAGGCATCTTTGGTCTTTGTCGCGATACCTTCCTACCTTGCATGCATTAGCTAGAATTGGTTGTTGCATTTCTTTTCTTTTTGGTAGCTGTGGAAAGAAGGGTGTGTACGCAGTACTGGATGGTACGTACTCCGCCTTGGATCTTGGACATTTGCTGGATTCACCCCCCTCTCCATTGGCGAATTGTAGGCCAGTCAGATGGGCCGGACTCCATGGCGGCCGTGGCACAATGACGTTTGTGGATGCCGGCTCAGGGTGGGAATACTACAGAGTCAGTATCCCCGCTCTAGTCCCGCTCTCGAAGCCACCGACGTCACCGCGTCCGGGTTGTTAATTCCAACGACGAACCACGGCATCCACCCATCCTCCACACCCTCTTCGCTTTCCCGTGCAGAGTGCAGACGTGCCTCTTCCTTCCGGATGCCTTTTAGCATAGGTAGCACATGCCTTATTAGCCTACGTGCCTTAGGTAGAGGGAGTGCAGCTTTAGCAGGTACGACACTGCAAGATACCTGCCCGCAGTACCGGCCGGGCGTGCCTGCCGATTGGGGGTCGATGAACCCATCACATTGCTCACTTGTGATGTCCTTTTTATCTTTTTTCTGCCCATATCCGCTACTGCTCCTGCGTGAGAAATTGGCGGTGTGTTGGAGGTTGGAAGTGACGATGACTTGCATCGGAGACGGAGCAGCTGGTGATGTCTTCATGCAGTTACCCAACAGAGAATTCCATGTCCCGTCGCTCGTGTTGCTGAGGACAGCATGTCATTCTCCGCTTCGGCCTTGCTGGGCCAAGGATGTATGGTATCTGCGACTTGTAACTCTACGAGGGTACAGGAAGGACCTGATGAGAACGGCAAGGCGAGCAAGGACGAGGCATGAGTGACAACATGAGCATGCCACCCCAAGTCGTCCCCAACCCTCCAGCTTCAACCGTCGTCTCCTCTCCAAGGTTCCTCCAATTCTTCTCTACGCACCCCCTTCATTGTGGTTGGTAGCCAACCTCAACTTACATCTACCCAGGCAGCCTTGTGGCAAATAGAGCGCACCCATGAGCATGCAATCAAATCAACAGACACTGGGCGCCTCGTTCACTGGCCGAGACAGCAATGACATCGCATTTGGTTCGGAAACAAGCATTGTCCCTTGCGAACCGACCGTGGACCAAAATTCATCCAAAGCGCGTACCAATACCATCATCAACAACACCAACACCCACGCCTGACTCTTCCCCATCGAACAAAAAATCCGGGGTGGGCGTTCAGACCCTAGGGTTCTAGGAACAGCAGAAGGACCCTGAAGATCCCATCTTGAGAGGCGTCTGCCTTGCCCCAATCCAATGCTGGGTCTGCGTGCAGCTAGCCGCACTAGCGCGTCTGCTCGTTGGCTGCTTTCGATCCAGGAGTCCTCCAACCGAGGGGGTATCTGTACAGTACGGAGTACGGCCACACCTTTTACAAAAACGCTACTGGATTGCGAAGCCTGCGAATTGCATCCAACCTATCCCTCCCTCCGTGACATTCCCCGGCCGCCAAATGGCCCGCCGCCAGCGCCGCCGCGGTACGATGCCGTACCACTGCTACACGGGCTGCGGGCACGGGCACGCACATTTACATACTACCCATCTGTATCTGTTCTGCTCCATGTCGACCAAACAACGAACACACTCCCGCCCACCCACACATCCAAGCACCCTTGACGGCGCATTTACAGGCACTAGCTATGCTATCTGCTACCCACCCACCGCATCCAACTGAATAACCGACTCCAATCACCACTCACAACCTAAATCACCGCACACGACACGAGAGGACGACCAAAAGCCTGTGCCGCGGCCACCATGACGTTGAGGTCAACAGGCTTCCCCCCTCTGAAGCAGCCATCTGTCTCGTGCGCCGGTATCTCGATGACGGAGCCCTACTAGCACAAGGTACTTGACACTTGGGGTGCGCGAACTCTCGAGGGTCTTCGCCTTCCATGGTCGGCTGCGGCCACTTTGACGCCTCGCCAGCTTTTTTGCCGTTGCGCTGCCGTCGTTGGCGCGCCCGCTGCATTTTGAGCACCGCATGCTACCTCGCTAGTTGGGCGGAACCTCCGCATGCCATCACAAACCTCGGATGGTGGACAAAGACACTATCAAGAGACGGGTGCCAAGCAATGCCGTCTCTCGCTTGCTCAGCATCGCTTCGCACCTGGCACTCATGGCTTCCATTATTTCACGCAGCGCTTCAACGGGCTAGCACCGTACTGCATCGCGATTCGAGCACAAGATCACTCTGATGGTGTAATGGCAGAATCCTTGCAGGAGCGCAACTGGACATCCCCGTCCCCGTGATCTGGGGTAGGAAAGCCGGTCACGGCAGGCTCAGAGACTTGTCACGCGCGTATCCGCTGAAGGATGGACATGAGTGTGTGTCGGCGTCGGTACCTGGCGGATCGTCGGTGGTCCGGCAGGGCTTGGAAATGTTCGCCTTGTCACCTCATTTGCTGGCCGTCCTCCAAGCTCCGTGGAATGCCCTGCGAAACCTAGCACCACGGAACTCTGGGATGGCATTAGACGTGAAGCTCCAGAGAAGCCATGTTTTGGATATCGTTTAGTTCCATCGAATCGGGTGCCTCGCGAGCAGAAATCCCAGCCAAATCCTGGGTCATTGTGCCCTTCTTCTGCTGCTTTTGGTCGGGCTTGGTACGGGTACGGTAGTACGGTACATTTGACGCTCTGGTCTTGCTGGATGTAACCTCACCATGCTCCCCGAGGATCAAACAAAGACGTCGTGTGCAGTGGGGTCGCTATCTTATCTCGTATGGATAGAGAGCCTGGCTCTAACAACGGAAGAGGAGCCCTCTCAGAAACCACTCAGACTGACCGTCTCGAGAAGTTGAGCCGGGCCACTTCATCAAATGCCGTTCGAATGGGTCCGCTGTGTCTACCCAAGGACCAAGGTGCTATCGAGGTATCCATCATCACAATGGACCTCTCTTTTCGAGCGTACTACGTATATGCGCTTTTCTCTGGACGGATACATGACCGACATTGTAGCCCGAACCACCAGGCATCAGATGTAAAACGTCCCCAGCACAGTCCACAGTTCAGACTTCAGCACCGCCGGGATCCGTCTCTTCCAAGATCGCCCCGCCCAAGGCAATGTCATCCAATCACTCCCGTTCAGCCCACCACGAAGCTTGATCGAGCTTAACTCCAGGATATCTCTCGAGCAGGAAATGATCAGAGCTCATCTTGGTGCCAAATCCCAGCAAACAGATGCTCGCTGCTCGACGCGTGCCTATGTGCGGAGTCTGACATGTTGCTGAAACACGCGCATCCACTTTTCCCTTCATCTCTGGTTGCGCCGAAGTTGGCTCTTCTTGTGGCTCCGCGGGACGGTGCAAGAGCTGGGGCTTGCGGCTGGGATGAGGCAATTCGATGCTGAGAACACAAGTTACAACCACCACGGCGACGATAACGGTGTGGATACATACTTTTTGTTGACCCTCTCCACCTCCCACATCTGCCATCAGGCTTTTGTTCCGATGGCTTGTCTTTTCAAGCACACACTGCGTAGGCAGGCATCTGGTTCACTTTGGGGCTTGCCTCATCTTGCATAGCCTTTGCCTTGGCCTGTCCACCACTTGCAGCACAAAGGTCCGCAGTCTCCATTTGTTACGGTTCCTACATCGTCATCCCCAGCCCATCCATCTCCAACTTATCCAGTTCAGCGGAGCTCTACTTCCTTGCTCCCTTCTCCCAGCGATCCCAGTCCCCCGTCTTCGCAGTTCTTGGTGTAATGCCACATATTGTCAATGACAAAGTTCCCCTCATCATTCCTAGTCTCCATTCATCTTCATCCCATATCGAATGATTAGGTGCTCTCCTCGTTTGCATCTCACATACTCGGGGCGCTCCACACTGAGACCTCCCAAACCTGTCAGTCCTCCAATGCATATGCGATCTCCCAGGTTGTGTCCTCTCTCATATTGGTCTTCCCACCCCTTGTCCCTCTTGGTCCGCTCATACTATACATTAGCTCCAACGGACGGGCATACGACACGACTTAGTCTCTGCGGCAGAATTGCAGATTGACCATTCTAGTTGGCCTCTTTGGGATCCGTCTCTTCCTACTATAACTAACACCACGTCGTACATGACACTAAATTAGTCATCTCCGTTTTGGCCCATACGCCATCCGTCACTTCATGGCAAAGTTGGCCTAGTGCCGTCTTGGTGAGATCCCCTTGAGGACTCCGTAAACTACGTAAGCACATATCCATCCTTGATAGCGCTCCCCTCTATCTACGTAACCCAAGGTTGCTTCTTCCCCCGTCTTCGTTAGCCTCTTTCCGTAGCCTCCCCGAGTCTCCGCCCCGAAACGCCTCCATCATGGCGAGGCAAACCCCCTCCCTTTTAGCCGCCCTTCCGTGTCGCCGCGTTCGACTCAGTTGCCGCAACGGCGCCTTGTTCCAAAAACAAAGTCGCCGCTAACATGCCCGGACCAGGTGACCTTGACCAAGGCCAGCAACGACGACAACAACGTCGCGAATTGAGCCTCCACTTCCATCAGGACTTTTTGTCGGTTTTTGCCTCCCCCGAGCGACCCCTCGCCAGCGTCCAACCCGCCAATTCGCGAGCCACGTTCAAGATGGATCATCTTATCTGACCATGGGCGCAACCCCATCCTAATACCTAGCATATACCAAGCATGTCAATGTGTGTGTGTGCGTGAGAGTACGCCCCGCGTACCGAACGCAACTGCGCGCCGATCGTTGACCACGCGGCAGCTTCTCCCATGTTTTCACATGAACACTCGCACAACCCCCTCCCCCCTTTCTTAGAGATCGACGCAGCCTCTTTCCCCTTTCCCCAAAGAGCCCCCTCTTTCTATCAAAATCATGGCGTTTTGCTGGGTGCCTGGCATTGCCTTGGGTTTTGTCAGAAAGGCAGTGAGCCCGACCCTCATTTAGGCTTATCCCTACCATTGGGTTGTCACACACGCATACGCGGTGCCGGCCGGCAGTAGGTATACGCACACTTTCAGCTTCCGCACTCGGCGAAAGCGATTGGATTTGCGATGAGACAAAGGCGCGCGCCGTGGTTGAACCACACCAGACCACGGAATACCTACCAATCCTCCAAATTTCAGGGCCATGACATTGGGATATCATTGCCCGAATAGACCGCATCGCATGGCAGGTGGCGAGTCGGTGAGAGCCGAACCGTCCAAGCCCCAAACACACACATCCTCATCTCAAGCTTCGGCTTCATCCCCATTGCGGGGAGAGATGCATATGTGATGAGATGGCAGGCATGGCGCTTTTGGAGGCCCGGGAGGGGGGAAGCACGGGAGCTCGGGGGGCCAGTCTACTTGGGGATGCAGATTGTCGTTTTCCCCATCTTGATGCAAAGGCGGAGGAGAGGAACCGTTCCCCCGTGCCCTCGGCGCCGCGCCATCTATTTGATGCTTGACCACCTGCAATTGATCGATCGAATGTTCCTACAAGCCCAGGGAGCTTCATTGCATCAGAGGTGGTCTGATCTTGCGTTGCCGATCTATCAAACTTTGGCCGTTGGAGATGCGCGGGTTACAGATGGTTGATGTGAATTTTCGTTTTTGAAATTCTTCGTACTACTATTATATTATACTGTTCGCAATGTACTATGTGCGTTGTTACCCATACCCAGTGACACTACCAGCCAATCCACTAATCTGGTTTCCTTAACTCACAACCCATTTCCTTTGCTCGCCGCCGCCGCCGCCTTCGCCGCTCAAGTCACGAGGGACGTGAAGCAAAGAGTCTCAAAAGTCCAAAGAAAAAAAATTATCCTCGACGATGCAAACTAGAAAATGCAGTGGCATTTCTTAGTAAGATGGGTATAATCATCGTGTGTGGAAGCTAGTAGTACAAGTCGCCCTCCCGGTTTGGGAACAGGGTCGAGTTTTTGCGAGGTGTGCCGCCAAGGCACCAACCTCTGGTTCGTCATCTAAGAAAAAGGACCCTTTTGGTGGAAATTCCCAACGGGCGGAAACAACATGATGAGCGCGCAACAAAGTAACAGATGATGAAAAACAAAAGGCAGAAAACAAGAGTGCAGCCCAGTATCCGTTCAACGCCAAGGGTGAGGGTATCGCCAGGTCCTCCATGACCTCTTGGAGATCTTCTTCCTCTTTCAAACATTTGAAAACCGAAAATGGACAAGAATGTGGTTGGTCCAGCCACCAACCAGGCCCGTATCCTGGGGGTTGTGTGGTGTGGGGTTGAGCGATCGACAATGAAGTGAATCCGCGCCCTTGTCCCCCTTCCTCCTCCTGCAGTTTCCCCCTTTCCCATGCGTACCTCACAGCCATGAGGCGCCGTCGACTCTGCCGCATCGTTCCGGAGCCCGCGGGCTCGAATAGTCGCAGGTAAAAGTAAGCCAATAAAAAAAACATTGGTAAAAAGATCTCCAACATATCATGAGACACCCTTTATGATGATGATCCGAAAGTGACAACCCGCCCGCCAATTCCTTTGCCGCCGCCTGACTTTTGTCTCTTTCGCTCGCAGATAGATGGATATTATAACGATTGTAAGAATGGTATCGTGTGAGAACCGATGAAAAAACGAAGACCGTCTATGAGAAATTTTGAAAAATCACAACCCCGTTGTCGAACCACTCGCAGATGTGGAGGGGGTTTCGGTGTCGAGAGTGGGTATAGACTTTAGGTCATGACTCGAACCGGGAAAACTCGTGAGCTCGTACTGATCATACTCGCCGAGGATTGTTTCGAGAACAACAATGTTGCCGTTACAGCTTGTTGTACATGTGGATATGGCAAGTTGAGTCCGATTAATCGGAGTGATGGTCTTCAGAACCAGCTTCAGAGCGGGCGTCGCCCTTGTGGACCTTCTTGTGCCTCCGCAAATTTGATACTACGGAGAAGTGACGACCGCAACCTTCGACCTCGCAGGCAAAGGCTATACTGACATTAGCACGTGTAATCTGGAGATATGCCTTGGCATGGATGATAATGGGTGTAACATACGCTTCTCGCCAGTGTGGCTGTACATGTGCGTCTGAAGAGAAGAAGGGCGAGTGAAACGCTTGTCGCACACCTTGCACTTATGCTTCTTCTGCGTGCTGGACGACACCTTGGAGCTGAACTGGCCCATCATGGATTGGGGCGCAGGCGGGATCTGGGGAGCCATGAGGCCGTGGGGCCTGGGGAGGGTCCGGGAGGTGACAGACTCGATGTCTGAGCCGGCAGTAGAGTAGTCGCTAACAGAGTCGGCGCCGTAGTAGTTGC